GGCGGCCAAGCATCCTTTTCGTCAGTACGCACGTCGGCTATACGACACCGGGAACCTCGATCGATTCATGATCGATGAGTGTCATTTAGTGCAGACGTCAGCTCACTACCGTAGGAACATGACACAGCTGAGTGAGTTGAGGCAATACCGAGTGCCCTTCATCTATATGACGGCGACGTTGCCACTCCGATTGGAGAAAGGTCTGTTCCAACGACACCATATCGGGGTAGCGAGCGTCGTACGGGGTTACACGAAGAGACCAAACATTCGATACGGAGTGGAATACCTCCAGGCCCCAAAAGGCGAGAGTTTCCTGTCTTTTGCATGCCGGCAGATTGTGTCCAAGTGGGAAGCAGGCCGTCGATCGCATTGGCACGGTGCTCGGGTGATAGTCTTTGTCCGATCGTATGCGAACGCGGAGGAAGCAGCAGAATATATGGGATGTTCATACTATCATCGAGACATTGGCACCACGGACGAGAAAGAGGCACGGCTCAAGGATTGGATTAGTGGAGAGAGTGGCTCCCCGTTCCTAACGTGCACTACTACCGCAGGAGTAGGCGTGGACTATCCGCACGTGCGTTGGGTAGTACACATCGAGGATCCGTATGGACTGATCGATTTTACGCAAGAATCCGGACGTGCCGGTAGAGACGGTGAGACTGCCGGTTCGAGTGTGTATATGAAACGCGATCCACGGCTGTTAGCGCCACCTACTCCTCTTGATCACCCGGACCCCATCGATCACCAGGGCATCAACGAGTATCTTCGTAGCATCGACTGCCGACGCCTCGTGCTTGCGCGGGAACTAGACGAGAGCAGATACTGGAAGGTGTGTGGCCCAGCGGATACTCAGTGTGACATCTGCGAAAGCAGAGGAAGAAGAGGCGACCTCGCTAGGGAGCTGACAGATGACAGCAACGAATATGGTAGTCCGGTTGGCTCGGACGTTAACATTGACGAGGAACATAGCGAGGATGGCGGACTAATCCGACTTCGGCGTCAGCAGATGTACGAACAACATGAAATGGACCAGTACCTCCACCACTTGGAACAGGTGAAAGGAGGATGCATGATTTGCAGGATTCTCGCACGCCAGATACAGTGGACCCACCCTTTGACCAGGTGCTCTCGACCACACAAGTGGAGGTATATCCTGTGCAAGCAAGCTATACTGCATGGGAATGCGAGTCGACAGTGGATCAAGAGCTACACCGCGTGCTTTCGATGTGCACAGCCGCAGAGTATCTGTGGGGGATGGTGCGCGAAGGAACGAGCACAGAAAGAATGTGAATATCGAGACTTGATTATGCCTGCGGTATGGGCACTATGGGAGGAGGATGGAGAGGAGAGAGCCTGGTTGGTGTCGAAGCTGGAGGTCCAAGTCAGAAGTGCGGAAGAAGCACTTATGGCCGCGGCCCGTGTGACCCATTTTGGTGGTGTCGAATGTGTGCTAGGGGTCAAGGTGCTAGTAGAGCTTCTCCGGACATGGAGTGGATAAAGCTTCTCTCCCTATAACCAGTTGGCTAGGTGTGCTCAAGTTGTTCATACTTCATCCTGTATGCTGGCGGTAAGATTAGCGAGTCCGAGGCTCTACAATGGATAGATACCGCCCAGTACGCTATATCGGCAGTCTTAATCTATATCAACACTAGTGGCAGAAGGAAAGCTCGATATTACTACAGTACACCAAGTTTTCTAACGTATCCTATAGTAGGTACATCCAATATACAATAGCCATTCTAGGCTATTGTCTCTAGTCTTGGCACTAACCCTAAGACACTACTATCGTAAAGAGGAAGACCGCTGCAAATAGCAATAGATACATCAAGAAATGCGTCGATAGACCTATATTCCAAGCCGGGAAGTCCTTAAGTCTTACCAATTTTTTATAACAAATACAAGGGCATACGCTACGGAAGTTAGGAATATCTAGGGTAATAGCGAATTTTGAAGCTATCCGCATAGACCTTCTTAGCTTACTCGACCTCTCCTTGGGTTATATTACTTAGCCCGGGATCCACAACTAGATGGTGTCCTCTTGCTACGCTATACCTCGCGGACAGGTCGAAAGAGAGGAGAAGCAATGTCTCGAACGCTACGCGGCACGAGTCGGTAACGATCTCGACGACCTACTAAAAATCTCTTCGGCCGAACGATAGGCGAAGCTACGCCCATTTCTTATAGCGCCTAGCTAGTTATAGATACTCGAAGAAACTGTCGATAACGGCTATCTCTACGGCACTAGATTCCTATATAGCGGCGACTATTTGGAATACGCTCGGCTACTTGTCTAGGACTATTAGTAGGTATACTACTCGGAGAATACATTCAAGGTCGGGTATCTTATATACCTAGCGGAGCTTCTATAGTAGAAGGCTAACGGAGCGCGCGTAGTTGAGCGGTAGCTTAAACGCGTTCATATTACGATCAACACGTTTGAGGTAAAGGAGGAGAGATCCGGTTAGGTTAGTAAGAGTCTCGAAAAACTCCTTGCGTACTCGAGCCTAGAGGAGGTATCGATCGTGGTTACGAGCGAGGATCCGCGCGATACTAGTCTTGTTAAGCGAATTGCTAAGGAAGAGGTCCGCCTAGTAGCAACTCGTTTGAAAGACATTGTCAAGGACGAGTGTATCTACGTGCTTTACGCTTACCAATAGCTCGGGCATAGTTACGTACTTGCTAGCTAGACGCTTCCTAGACCCTAGGGAAGGTTAGAGCGTACTAATAAGCTCTTCCGAGTCATCTACGACCGAGACACGGTAGACAAGCGTAGACGTAGTATACCAAACGACTTAGAGGAGAGTAGAGGGGACGATAGTTCTCTCGAGGAGAACGAGTAGTTAGGGTAGATTGTAAGCGTCGCCACTTGTTCGAAGATTAAAGGATAGGCGAAATTTCGTTACTTTAGTCTATAGTGAGTAGATTATCAAACCAGTAGACTTGTCGTAAGTTATAGTAACTATATTGATTATAGTAGCCGTATAAGGGACGGCGCTAACAACGAGGTTGAAGATAGCCAAAAGCTTCATTAACCCGTTATGCTATAGCTAAATCGAGTCCGCGTTAGCGCATATAAGCTAGTCGTATAGTAGCGCTTTCGAAATAGTTATAGACTAGACCTACTCCACACGTCTCTCTTAGCGTATTAACATGGATCTTGACTATGACTAGACTAGTCGGAACTCTACTATACCTAGGATTAAATCTTAATACCGACTCTTGCTCGAAGGATATGTAGATGCCCTTTAGAGTCGCTCGATAATGGGGTTAGCTACGGGATCGGCCGCATAAACGCCAAGCCCATTGAAATACCGTTCCATTCAAGGTCTCAAAGTAGCTAAGGTAGGATGATATACCTATGCCGGTACACAAGTACATTAGAGATTACCCGAAGCTTAGTGCACTAAATCTCTTATCTATACTTGCCCTTAGAGGATACGCGGCGCGTATATATATTTGCGTGTCGTTTCTAGTAACTACGCCTACGCTATTTTACTAGGTGCAACCTTAAACGGAGTAGATAAGTGGATGTATATCGATAATTATTCCAAAAGCACCCTAATAATATTAAACTCTAATTACCTATACTATAACTAAATTGACTCAATTCCTTTAACTAGCTAATTACTATTATTAGTATCTCTTTAGAGTACGCTATACCAATTCTAACTTACGCTTATTAGCGGCATAATCGCGACGCGGTCGATTGCGCGTCGCGCTAGAAGATATATAAAGTAAAACTAAAACTACGCTATACCTACTAAATACGCCTAGGTAAACGGATAGCGATCTAGCTATAGATATCTTTAAGTATCTCTTCTAATACTAGGTTCTTATATGTTAATTCTACGTAGCTACTATCTTTTTCTATAGGCTATTACTAACGTCCATTTCTCTAAAGTAAGCTACTTTATATAACAAACTATACATTTAATATTAACTTATAAAAGTCTACTCTTTAAATGTAATAATTTAAATTTAACGTTATATTGTTCTCTAACTATTTCTCTACTAATATAGTTGTCTATATTTAAGATCTAGTATATAGTAGTAGCGCTATCGATTATTATATTAGCGTTGCTAATTAACGCTTAGATTTTGTACCCCTACTTAACGACTATAAGAGGATAGTTTCTAAGATCTAATATGCTAGAGAAAGAGCTAGAATGCTAAAGAACAGGTTACACGTGTTCTTGAAACACCGTACGACAACGGCCGAATTGCCTATGAGTTTGGAGGATGGAGGAGGAGGTCTTCCGCTGCAGCGAGCTTTCAACTTAAAGTAAGCGTGTCAGCAGCTTGCCCAGCTGAGTATAGCTAACAGCCACGCAAAGTCTGCATATCTTTGCATAAAGTCAAGTTCGCGGCCGATGCGGCCGCAGATTCTGGAAGTGTCCATGAAACTCAAGCAGCTGTTTCAGAAAGAAGCACCTCGTTAAGGAGAGTTGTCGCTTCCTCCGACGTATTCAAAACTGTGACCACATCGAGTAAAAATTCATGGGCGCGCAATTGAGACTTCGGTGGATCGCTTTGTCTTTTCACACTAAAGTCTTTCCACGCCCTTGCAGAGTACAATGATGCCGCTGTCTCAGACCACTGCGTGAGACGATGTAAATCAATGCATGGGAAAGTCCGTGATGATTGGTTGTCTTGTGCTGCCTGCATGCATACATGTGAGTCGACGACGTGACTCACCGCTACTTGAAAACGCTAGTAGCAACAACCCTCAAACTTTCTGACGGTTGTCTCAAAGTTCTGTGCTTTAAGAGCACCGAGGTCAAAGAGCAGCAAAATCCATATCAATCAAGACATCGTAAGAAGAATGGCGGCAAGGACATACGAAACAAAAGACGTGCTCCTACAGTGGGTAATCGCTTACACACAAATCGGGTACCAGTCCGACTAATGATACTAGCTTGCTGAAGAGCGGCGCATACACTGACCTTACTATCCAATGTGGTAATCTCGAGTTCCTCGTGCACAAGAGCATCGTCTACATGCAGTCTGGGTACTTCAACACCGCTTGTAAGGAAGGGAGATGGAAGGTATGCCCGGACTTGGACCGAGTAATTGTGAGTGCGAGCTAACCAGTACTAAAGGAAGGATCTACCGATGTGATTACCTTGAAAGCTGCATCCGACGTGATAGAGGGAGATGATCCTTCCATTGTCGATCTGATGATCACCTTCCTGTACGAAAACGATTACCAACCCAGACTTGACCAGATTGCACTGTCTATAGACGAGCATCACCAGGACGAAGGACCAGGGATTGCCATCGAAGTGCCCGACTCTGAGAGCACGAGCAATGAGGTGCAGGGCCCCATCGACCACGGCAACCCGATGGAGGTAGGGAAGGGGAAGAAGGCGAAGGGGAAGAAGAACAAATATGCATCCCTGCGGGCACAAGATTTGTCAGAGGACATAAATGCTCCAGCGGCACGACCTACAAATGCGGAAAGCTTCCTGCCAGTACATGCTAAGGTCTTTGCTCTTGGTTCCAAATACGACATTCCTCATCTGCAAAGCAGATCCATTGCCAAGTTCAAAGCAACTGCTTGTCTGTGGTCGAAGGATGAGCTTACTGAAGCAATCTCGATCGCGTTCAACACCGCGCCTGACAACAACGGTCTTCGCGTTGCTATCTAAGCAATAATAACCGAAAACAGCGCACAACTGACGGACGACTTAGCCTTTCAAGAAGCTGTCAACAGCATTGATGGTCTGGCATTCGAGCTATTTAGGATGCAAGTGGGGCACAGCAGAGGCCAGCGGACCTGCAACAATTGTAATGCAACATACGAGAGCAGATGCGCAGTGTATGGCTGTTCTCCAAATTCTTTCGGCCATGACAGGCATACGTGCGACAAGAGGGGCCGCTGCATGAATTGTGACCAGGATTGGAGCAAAGAGACTCTTTAGGCTTGAGAGACGGTCTACGCGATCACATGTCCTTTTTGCTGACCTAATGCAATTGGTGGAGTGTTGTCATTCGCGGAGGACGATGTCAGGATATGCCAACTCCGACGATGAACTTGCCGAAGACATCGTCGCGAGGCTCAAGGGACTGACGTTCGGACGTCTCGACTCAGATGACGACTCCGGCGGCTAGAGGGACGATGAAGATGAATCTCGCGATCTCACCGCATGTGACTCCGAGTGTGGGTACTGTGGCAAGTGCCTGTACTAGGCCTCGGCATGTGCTGTGTAGATGGGAATGCACATCGAACAGGACTTAGGGGACTGGAGGTGGCGTTGAGAGTGCGCAGTAGATCGTACGTTAGTCCGTATCTGAGTCCTCTGCTATGATCAACGTGTTCCGGCGTTGCGGGCGTTTCGGACTCTCCGAATACTCCAGCCTGGCTGGGACAGTCGTCTCGCCGAACAAGTGCAAGTCAATGGCGTCGAGCTTTACCGCGTTTAGACGGATATCGTGTAGGACGGAATGGACTGCTGAGGTCACAGCAGCCCGACACCGGTCGCAAAATCGGGTCGCCACGTACCGTAAGTTAGCTGCTGTTCGAGACACTTGTCGGACGTACGCCAGATGGCCATGTGCGAAGGTCCTATAGAATGTGGGCGAAGAGCGCTAAAACCTCGACGTCTCCTCCTGAAATCCAGCCGCTGCCACGACGAATGTGCATACCCCGAAGTACTAAGTGGCGCTGCGGAACCTGGGGCGTCCTATTTCCACCATTTGTCAGAATGGAGAGTCGTCATATGCAAGGAATGGCCGCACGCGATATGGCCAAACGAAGTGCGAGGGCATTTACAGGGCAAACAGCATCGAAAAGCCCAAAATGCCGCCCAAAACATTGCAGAAGAAGTACAGCAATGGCCAGGAAACGTCCAATACCCATCCGAGTTCGAGATCCCATCGTATATCGAGAGATCCATCCCCGAGTTGCCATTGTATCCGGGTGGATTCCAGTGCCAATTACAGCTCGACCGTTGTTTGTATATGTGCCGGGAGCGCGCGTCCGTCCGAGACGATTGGAAAAGGCAACATCGATGGTCCGTAGGCAAGAGAGAAGGCGGATCCGGACAGCAGAAACAGGCCGTTGTTGAGCAGCAACTCCAGAAAGGAGCCAAGCGAGTACAATGCCAGCGATTTTTCCCCAGCCAATACGGATCGAAGTATTTCGAAGTACGGCGGCCGGAGACGGCCAGCTACCAGTGCACGGAGCCGCATGACGGGATTCATGCACTGCTTAGCCTCGTCGATGACGGAGAAGCAGTATATGCAAACCCTGGTTTTCGAAAGCCGGTTGTGGAGCTCATATTCGAAGTTTCAGAACTGCTTAGACGGCCTCTAGGCTGGGATGACTATCGCGATAGTGGTTTCCTCCAGCTTCTCATACGCTATTTCGATCCAGGATTCTGCGAAGTATAAGCTTTGGCATTTCACGAACACCCGTTTTTGATAGCAATAAACTTGGAGAGGCAATACGTAGAGGGAATGCAACGACCACTCGGGTTCTCCTTCATGAATGTGCGCAATGAAGTGCCAGCAAGAGATATACAGGCAGAGTACTCGCGAAAGCAGGACGGAACGGGCATGGGAAGATCATTACGCTAGTATGGTATGCAGGAGCGGACGTCAATGCTCAAGGACAAAAGGCATCATGTCAAAGCCTGGACAAGGTGATGTGGATGTTGCTGGTATCGGCGCGAACGTGGACGCTCAAGGAGGACACGATGGTAATGCGTTCTAGGCGGCATTAGGGTAAGACTGCGACGGGATGGTATAGTGCTGCGAGATGCTGGGACGAACGTCGATACCCAAGAGACACCATGATGACAGGCTGCATACCGCACTAGATGCAGGCCACGACGAGGTGGTGCAGGGTGCTGATGGTTACCGGGCCTAGTGTCGTAGGAGAATATGGTAACACGCTGCAGATGGCGATAGCAGCACAAGGCGAAAAGAAGATGGTGATAGTCAAGAGCACATCTTAGAACTACAACACGTTATAGTCGACAGGAGAGGGTGCTGTTATTTCTACCTGTAGCGGGCGGGAGGTCGCGGGCGAGGATTCGGCGAGGATCGGTGGAGGTCGAGGGCAGGAATCATCCCGATCCGCGAACGCTGCCTCTCATGAGATGTACCAGAGAGTATCAAAATTCTGGAGCCGTGGCATTGGCAAGCTACGGGTGTGAAGTCTTCGAACTGGTTGAATGAAAGCTTGATCTTACGCTCTGATTTGTTGCACGCTGTAGTGTCCGCATTAGCATGTTAAGCAAGCCGAGACAGTAGAAAATGTGCTGCCGAATCGTGATTGTTCGCTTGCGCTCTTTCGTGTGCCAGGTGTCCTCGGGTATCTCGAATATGGAGGTCGGCACCTCTTTCAACCAGTATCTGAAGCACATCCATATCCCCTGAGGCAGCCGCATCATGTAGAGGAGTGCCTAGCCCAAACACCTGACGGTGCAAGTAGGAATCAGCCTTGTCGTGATACATCACCGCATTCACAGGTGCGCCCATCTCCAGAAGATATCGTACAACAGCTAGGCGGTCTCCCAACTCGCGCCAAATAGCGTAATGAAGAAGTTGGCCGTGCTTGACGCTTCCTCCACTGGCAAAGAGCATCTGGACAATGGCCAAGGGCGCATACTGAACAGCTGCAGACAGAGGCGTTTTGTCCAAGCCACACGGGACGTTCGGATCTACTCCTTGATCGAGAAACCAAGCAGTCAAGTCTCCGTCTTCCACAGCATATCTGTACAAATAGGTCAGCTATGTCGTATGCGCTCGAACCTATCGTTACTCTTACGCGAGGGCGGGTGGATCTGACCATCCCAGTCTTTCATTGACGGGCCATACTGTAGGAGAAGCTAGATGATTGGTTTGGCTCTCAACTCCGTAGCAATCCTGACATGGTTGGAGGAGATCTGGACGCCTTCAGACAATAGATACTGCACAGTATCTTCATGTCGAGATTCTACGGCCAGGCGAAGGGCACTGCCAGGCTGGCGTATGACGGCGGGCCTTGCATTGGATTGGCGCAGTCTTGAATATGTCTGAACCACCACAGACAGGTTCTTGTCTTGACAGGCTTTTTCAAGCTCGCCGAGAAGCTGGGTGTGTTCAACGGGAATTTCTTTGTAATCGAAAGAATCCGGTACATAGTCGACAGTAACAAAGTTGAACCCAGTCAACAGATCCATTTCACAAATCCTTGTCGCAAAGTAGAGCGTCTCGAAAGTCGAAATGCGACACAACGCATTATACTACCATACGTTCTGCTAGCGGACTTTGCGTCTGTCGTAGGTGCAAAGATTGGCACGTATACATGCCTCTTTTTCGCGATCTGCTATAGGCGCCTCATGCTCCGTTAATGTTGTCTAAGAGACAGAATCGCGAATGTGAGGTTCTAGGTATAATGGCTATGTAAGGTTGGCACGTGCTTGTGGATGGAAGGGCTAGGCCCTCGCCGGAGACTATGCCAAGAAAATGAGACACAGCCCGTACCTGCACCTTCCCTCCACTCTCCCTTCCTTCTTGCCACCATGCAGTCGGGCTAGTATGACTTCGGCAAGCATGTTGCCAACCGCTGCATCCATCATATCTGACACGATGCGCATGTACATTGGTACTCTGCGCAATCATGGCAGGGATAGAGCAGCAAGACGCGCGAAACCGCTTGCCAGCTGAACTTCGCTCGCAACTGCTTGCATTCGATCCCAAACTGAGTACTATTCAACACTTCGCTGAACTCTATCATGCTATTGAAGCGCTACCAGAGCGTGACCTTCCCACCCGCCTCTACTTCGATTCTATGCATCTCGAGGTGATCGACTTTCTGGTGGAGAAACAGGCACGGTTAGCGTGCTCGGCCTCCGAGGGTCCGTGGCTACGTTGAAGCGCAGGACGGGATAGAAGGAGGCGAGGATAGGGTTTAGGGTTAGGGTTAGGGCTGT